TTATTGTGGAAAAGCAACAATGATTTGAAAAAATGGTAGAAGTAGCTATTTCGGAAATCACCACATTTCCTCATCAGACTGGCAGCCAGGCTGAGTCAGTGGGATCGTCGCACTATGGATCGAGCTAGTACAAAGGCTGATCATAAATGCATTTTTGAAAAGTTGTAAATAACATAAGTGTTTGGTATCATTCTTTAGGGAATAAAGCGTTCTTTAATGATGTAATGATTTTTTGTGTGTTTATTTAAGAAAATAAAGTGAAAATTGCGTAAGAATTTGACATATTCAAATTGTTGAAACTTTTACTCGCAACGCAGTAATTTTCAGATCCGCAGTTTGGGAATTTTTTCCTAGCAAGGACCTATTAAGAAATACGGACTTGAGTTACATGTTATATTCAGATTTGAAATTGGCTATAAATATTTTATTTTGAAATAACAGGTTGCAGCAATAGCTTCTGTAATAAAACACACATTTTGTTTCGTTTTTTTTTTAATTCCGATGAAGGATTCGAAGGTTTTCGCCGTTTGGCTATGTTTTGAATTTGAATTCATTAAAAGCATGAAAAATCCACCTACTACACGAAAAAAAAGTTAGCGCAAGTTTGCGCCATTTGAAGTTATGATGTTTTAAGTGAAACTACGTGAGAATGCGGGATTTCAGCCGCTACTAGTATCACTGGGCTTTTAACCCTATAAGTAATAAATCTTTAAACCTAACAAAAAACAATTTATATATTCGAAAACTAAACAACCGCACCTTTTACCTGATGTTTAATTTGTGAGATTATAATAATTTTTAGAAAAAATTACCTTACACCATGCATACGGAATTACCAAGAAATACGAATTTACTCTCGATAAAAAAGTTAGCTGCCTACTTTTAAGGATATACTTGACCGCAAAATATAAGTATGTACGATTACCTGCTAGGTTCTCCAACTGTACAAAATTAATATAGCAAGCGAGTACAAACAACAACTTCCAGAGGAGTCTGAGTTGATTTCAGACTCAAATCTGTTCACTGCTTCTTGTGTTCCTTTGAAATTAATTGATGAAGCATCTGGTTATATTATCTGGCAAAATCCCGCGCCTTCATCAGTAAGATTTTGTAGACCAATTTCAATAGAGTTTTCAAAGGAAACCCCAATGAAAAAAAAAGTCTGGTGTGGATAACATAGATACAGTCCCAAATTGATGAATTACATCCGTTTTTGATTTGTACAGATGGTGAAGAACTACAGGTCAAGTATGAACTTTTCCTTACAATGGTCGATGGAAAAGTTACCCAGGTATTAACAGGCACAGCTTCCGTGTACTATATGTGGTGCTACTCCGCGCCTAATGAAAATAAGTGAATTCATTCCAGATTGTGAAGCGATTGCAACCGAAAATAAATGAAGCATTTTGATAAAAGTATTTTTAATAGGTAAAACATATACTATTTTTAGTCAATAATTTTTAGAAAACTTTGAGCTTTTTTCAAAGCTCAATTTGGTATACTCTTGAAAATTTTTCTTATTAGGGTGTTTTTATATACTTTTCTTATAGCACCTACTATAATGCAATAGTTCAGTAAAATTTTTTTTTAAATATATATTTTTTTTAAATAAAGGGTAATCTATCTAAAAAATATAAATATATCTGAAATAATATTTTATAAAAACAATCGTTTAATACCAATATTCAAATATCTTCTTTCCATTTAATCAGAAAGTGTACTTTTTATGTTTTCCAAGTCCACATATGGGTCTATATCTCGGGAACCAAAGGAGATACAAAAATTAAAAATGCATTAAATTGACATGGTTTACACTATCTACACGCAAAATTTCATGATCGTAACTTTAAACAGAAAAAAGTTACAGATTTTTGATCAGCAAATGCCTCATATTGCCCATAGTGCGTCGTTTCGAAGCCTACTGAAAGAAGTCTGATGAGGAAATGTGGTGATTTCCGAAATAGCTATCACTTCTACCATTTTTTCAAATTATTGTTGCGTTTCCATTATAAATTTTCATTATAAAATGGCCTCGAGCTCAATAAAAATTGTTGAAAATTTTTGATTTTGTACCATTTTTCTATGAATAAAAGTCTAATACTTTGTATTTGAGTTATATTTATTGTACGCTTTTTCTTTTTACTAAAAGAGAACATTCAGGACAAAAAATCTCGAAATTTTCTTTCATATATTTTTGCGTTAAGTTTTTTAACGTACGTCCACGTATCATTTAAAAAAATATCGCGTACGAGCTCGAAATCTGAAATCCGAACACAAAAATGTCCGAAATTGTACACAAAAATGAGTCACATATGACTCATTGGACAGGGAAGTTGTTAAGACGAAATTTAGAATTAAGACTTTGAGTAGAATAAAAAAATATAATAATGTAAAAAGGATATGGCTAAGACGAATTTTAGAATTAAGACTTTGAATTGTATAGAGTCACTATTATAACGTGGGTATGGGTAATAAACCATCAGTAGACTAATGTATTAATCTAATCCGTAGCACGTGCCTCTGTGCCATTGCGCATTCGTATGACCTATTCCAGATAGACTCACCCCTAGTAACCATACGGGATGGGTATGGATGGATCATCGATGGACACTTCAAGCTAATTCATGTGGTAAATTTGGAACAATACGAATTGGTAACAAATCGGCTCGAGTGGGCAATAACAACCTTAAACCAAACAACAGGATCTACAGAGGTACTACTATTCCAGCTAGGCAGGATCCGCACACGTTTAAACGAACTAAGAGGGCACGAGACGGCTAGATTAAAAAGATCTATTAGCTGGATTGGGTCAACTTGAAAATGGATTACTGGCTCACCTGATGCTACGGACTGGGATGAGGTCCTCCGAAACGAAAATTCCCTCAATAAAAATAACGAGCAGCAGTACAAGGTGAATGATGAAATTTTTAAGAAAACTAATCAGTTATTGCAGAGGGTCAATGGCATTGTGGTCGCCACCAATGATGTGATCAACAAGAGGAACTTGGACAGGATTTCTCAAGAAGTCCAGCATAAAATCTTTATCCTGAATGATGACGTCAACGAACTGATCCGTGCTTGTCAGATGGCTAAAGCAGGAGTCGTCAACACCAATATTCTGAGTATAGAGGAAGTCAACCAGCTTGTCAGTGAGATCGGCGCTCCTCCATACAGCAACGCCATCGAAGCCATTGAATATAGCAAACCATCGATCGACAACAACACACTCCTCTTATACGTTGTCCCCACCAAAGGTCACATAAACTACATTTAATCACCTGAGCCCGAGTGGAATTGGCATATCAAACAATCCTGACCAATAAACATCATGATCTACCATGATCTGCGAAGGGAAATCACTCGATCTGCTACCAGAATCTAGTTACCTGACTCGTCTTCTCAAGGGAGGACAAATAAGTTGTACTTACGCGACCTGTAACGATTCCACTGTTGACATCATCAAGGATGATACCATTTTCCTTGACAATTTTATAGGGATTGTAAAATTAGGTAACAATTCAAATACACTTAATGGTTCTTATATCCTCCAGATGGACAATGAGACGGCGAGGTTACACCTACCTCCATTGAACATTGACAACAAGGCTAATTCAAAAACCGAGGAACGTCTATCTGATCTGCGGGACGCAGATCTTTAAAGGGGGAGGAGTTAACACATCCGCCGTTACCCAACATGTGGCATTCCCACAGTCTAGCAATACACGTGCGCCATGTCAGCATAATTATGGTTCACAACATAATTGACATCCTACACCTTTGTCAAGGCCAAGTGCATTTCACCATATCATGCAATAGCAATATTGCGCAACGCTATCACACACTTATGGGAACCGTCGGCCACAGTTATACCTCTGGCTAATGCTTACGCAACCATTAGTATAACGGAGCCAATGCATTAGGCATTGTAGCGGTGTCAGCATAATCTCATTTCACACGGTTACCTGTGGGAATTCAAGGCCAAGGCGGCTCACTGACGTCGCGTATGTCTGGCTGTAGAACAGCGGCTGCGGAACAGGCTATAAAGGGCGGCAGAACTCGAAGCAGCGGCAGTTGCATCGGGGTGTTACTACTGTAAATTAGGCCTATTTATTTATGTCAACAAAGTGCTTCTATTATGACGTTCAAATTATCTTTTTCAATTCCAGGGCAAGTTGGCCCTTTAATTATTTAAGTTATTCAGGACCTTCAGTCCTTAACTTACATATATATACATACATATATATTTCCACTGCACTTCTTTTTACTTATATATGTACACATTTAGGTAGTTGCATTTTACTGCACTCTTTAATATTTACCCTAAGCTTTATTTTGTTGTTTATATATGTTACCGGCCAAACCCGATCTTAGGACAAACTAGTTTTGACTAGGCTAAACTAGATCAGGCGCCTCAGTATTTTTGATCATAACTCCCAAGGCTGGCATTCCATTGCACTTTTATTGCTTACAGGAGAAACCGGTTTTTTTAGTATTTAATCAATAAAACTCACCGAACAATATAGCTGCAATATTCCATTATTGGCGCCGGTTAAGGTGGTGATGACTTTGAAGGTGCTGGTGGCTTCAAAGGCGCTTTTGGCGTCCAAGGTGCTGATGGCGTTGAAGGTGCTGAAGGTGCTTTAAACAAACGAAAATGTCAATTAAAATTAATAAACATGAAAAATCTCAATATATACCTTCAGAATGTGGCTAAGTCGCTGATGTTTTGCAATCTGAAAGAAAATATTACATTATAATCAAATAAAATTGTTAAATTCGTATTCTTACTTTAAAAATTTTCGCAGTGACATTTCTTCACAGTATGTATACTGTCATCAAAACCATGATCATGATTCAATAATAGAAAGGTTTTGTAATAAACAAACAGTCTTCTCGCTCCCACACATAAAATCGGCTCCTATACTTGTGCAGAATGTTGCTTACTCTACAGTTTCTAGTGATATTAGTAGTAAAACCAAAAATTCTTCATACTAAATATTCGTTGGCATCACCTTCGTTTGCGTAATTTTCTAGAACAAGTGTAGAATAGTGACCGTTTAGCTATAAAATAACCAAAAATGCCGATTGATAGAACTTTTTATGCTGATTTCAACGACACCATTTGGCGCAGGTTTAAGAGGTTTATTTGCTTTGTTTATTTGTATTTTTTATTACCACTAAATTGTTGAAACCCAAAAGTAGATCATGATAAAATATGTAATATCGAATTAAAGATAATAACTTGTACTTTCCTAATAATATAAATTTCTTTACCATTAATTAGGCAGTTTTTTTTTTAAAAAAGATTATTTCATGAAAAAATAACATTTGTTTGTTTTTTAGTGGTTTTGGTTTAAAAATACAAAAAGCTATAAATTATGTACATCAGCTGAAAGACAAATTAATTATCTTTATGATGGCGTCATTAGTTTTTTTTATCGGTTATACAGTTCATAAGATATTAATATTTAAAAAATCTAAAAACTGAACTTTAACCTTCTAGAACGTCTTCATCTTTTACTTGCGCCAAATAATTTTGGCATGGTTGAAATGAGCATAAAAGGTTCTATTGATCTGCAGTTTTCGTTTTTCCATAGCTGAATGGTCGGTTCCAGGAAATGATGAATAACTTAAATAAAAAATGCACATATTTATGTATTGTTTAGTATTTCCATTAAAACACCAAATATATTGCAAATTCGCATAGAATAAATAATACACATTTTACTTCTAATTGTATACTTTGCGTACTTTTTGTAGTACTTTTCTACTACCGTTTTCGTAAAAGGCGATCACATTCTTACCCGTTCTCCTACTTCCAAAATACAAATCTAGATAAAGGAGTGTCAAATTTTAGCTGTCACAAATTACATGGTCATGGTCATGATTCAATAATACAAGGTTGGATAAATTTTGACATTTGTGCAATCGACTGCCTTGTAAGGTTGCATTTGAGAAGGAAAGAGAAGGGGGGTAACCATTTTATCCCCTTTTGTGAAAAGGTAGTAGGAAAAGTAGTGCACTTGTAGAGTAGCCATATATGTAGTACTTCTATATTGCTAGTACAATATGATCGCAATGAGTTCTAAATTCGAAATCAAAGAAAGACAACCTATGAAAATTTTTGTGATTGTAGAAGTATACGTGTGTATTTGTAAACTACTACATAGAATGAAGTGCCATGTCATAACAGCGGCGGTTCAGGGAATCCACAAACAAACATAAATTTGACGGTCTCATGTTTCCTTCAACCGCATGTATATCGAGACCCAGCCGCGAAAATCGAACTTTTTTCCAAATTTAATTTTTGACGCATAAATGCTCTTAGAGCACCTGCATCAAAAAGTACATTAAAAAAAATATATACATTATCTACGCGGTTAGGGCTCGATATGTCGACTTTCTCCAATGCTCTTTGTTATTTAGAAATCTGAAAAATTGGAAGATAGAAGATCTTTTCCTAACCAAGACAAAACTTATTATTATGGTATTTTATATTTATGTTGGCCGAATCCAATAAAGCACGCTATTCGACTCCATTCTATGCTAATTGACGCCAATTGGAAATACCACCTAATGCCAAGTCCATGCCAAGTCCTTCTCTAACAGGTATTTTTATCCTCTGCCACCCCCAGCGGCCACAGAGCTTCTCATAGATTTACAAAATTTTTTTTTGATAATTTTTCATATGAGTTGTTTTCAAATAAGAATTTGTGAAAACGCTCCTGAATTTTGAAAAGTAAAATTGTCATTTTGAGTACATTCTCTTATCGGATCTCTCTTTCTTTTTTCAATATTTCGGCACTCTGATGTTGGGGAATATACTTTGAATGTACTAGCAATATAGAAGTATTACATATATGAGAGTAGCCAAAGGCTGGCATTCCATTGCAGTTTATACTTTTATTGCTTACTGGAGAAACCGTTTTTTTAGTATTTAATCAATAAAACTCACCGAACAATATAGCTGCAATATTCCATTATTGGTGCCCTTTAAGGTGATGACTTTGGTGCTGATGGCTTCAAAGGTGCCTTTGGCGTCCAAGGTGCTGATGGTGAATGCCAAATCTGTAAACAAACAAAAAATGTCAATACAAATTTATAAACATATGAAAAATCTCAATATATACCTTTAGAGCGACTTAGTCAGCTGATGTTTTGCAATCTGAAAGAAAAGATTACATTATAATCAAATAAAATTGTTAAATACGTATTCTTACCTTCCAAATTTTCGCAGTGACATTTCTTCACAGTATGTATACTGTCATCAAAACCTTGATTCAATAATAAGAGGTTGGATAAATTTTGACATTTGTGCAATCGACTGCCTTGTAAGGTTGCATTTGAGAAGAAAAGAGAAGGCGTGTAACCATTTTATCCCCTTTTGTGAAAAGGTATTTGGAAAAGTAGTCTGGTAGTGCTGAAACATGATTCAAAAATACAAGGTTGGATAAATATTGACATTTGTGTCAATCGAATACCTTGTAAGGTTGTATTTGAGAAGGAAAGAGAAGGCGGGTAACCATTTTATCCGCTTTTGTGAAAAGGTAGTAGGAAAAGTAGTCTGGTAGTGCTGAAATGCGTTTTTTGTATAAAAATTGAATTAAATATAAAAAGCTGATTCTTCTGATCTACACAATTGATAATGAATTAACTTTTTATGGTATATTAAACATGTTTATTCACATAAAATTCAGACCAAAGAAAAATCTTTTCGGCAAATTTTCCCAATTATTTAAAATAAACCATGGTTTCATTAAAATTCCAGTATATATTAAACAAAATTAATGGAATTCAGCCAAATCCTTAATTCAAAGGGACTACAGCACACACCGTCTTCAAAAGAGTCACTACTCAAAATTTCGGCTGGAGCAAATTTCTGTTATAGTTTGTAAAAAAACCTAAGGTAAATTCGCCCTGGTACATATGATTATCTTGTGCTAAGAAATAGTTTTTCGCATTTTCTGACAGACGTATTATTTTGAGTTTTGGTTTTTGAAGACGGTGTGCATTATAAAGAAATATGGGTGTTTCCATCGGAAGGTCCACCACGACAAAAAAAAAATAAAAGTCTTATATCTAACGTATTTACGGGCCGATTTGTCTGCTTTTTAAAATATATACTGACTATTTAAGTAGAATCATGTCTGCGTAAAATGGTCTTCCTAGGTGGCGCCAAGGTCGAGGTATTTCGAAAAACCCTATTTATGGTCCGATTTGGTTCGAATTTGGCGTATGTAGTTGAAACATAATAAATCATAGATTTCCAAAAAATTTACCCTGAATTTGCGCTAAAGTCAAAATATAAACTATATTCGACATAAAATACATGTTTTATTCTCATTTTCGTTGTTAGTGTTTCCGACAGGGTAGGAGTGTGATGTAATGTGGAACGATTTTCCGTCATCCCTTGTCAAATTTGGTTTGGAGACAAACCGGTTTCGGCGTTGTGCCATCTTCAGGGAAAATCGTTCCACATTACATGTTTTATTTGCGTTAAAAATTCATTTAAAAGTAATATTAACAAAAATATAACGATGGAAATTTGTGTCACGTGACGCCACGCCACGTGACGTTTCAGACGCGATTTTGTAAGAAATGAAAAAATCAACTTCCATTTTTTGTCACGTAACGAGACTCTCTTTAAATGCTTATATTTCAGGACCAAGCAGTTCGATTGTTTTAATTTTTTGGTTAAATATAGAGCTAATTATGTGCTATACAATGGCCCAAAAAAGTTAAAGAAAACAAATGGTATTCTTTTTTTGTATCACATTGAAACGTACGACTGTCACGTATGCGACGTATGGAAATACCCATATACAAATAGTAAAGATGCAATTGATATAATTTATATAAATTAATCTTTTAATAATTATTATAATTAATTATTATATTATATTATATATATATATATATATATTATAATTGTTGCATTTAAAAATTACATGTTCAATATCTTAAATTGAATTACATTTGGTGGACGGGCGCACAAATGATCTTGACCTGCACAAGAAAAAATCTTTATTAAAATTTGCACTTTTATGGGGTGGTATACTAACTTGTAAGTATGCAAATTCTCCACTTGACCAAACCAAAGCTGCAGTGGTGAAAATACGCTCACCAGCGAACGTCGGACATACAAATGATCCTGACCAGCACATGAACAATTTTTTATTAATATTTGCACTTTCACTTTTATGGGGTGGTATACTAACTTGTAAGTATGCAAAGGCTGCACTCAACCAAACCAAAGGTTGCAGTGGAGAAAATAACTGCACCAGCGAACGTGAACGGCCACACAAAGTGATCCTGACTGCACAAGAAAAAACTTTATTGATATTTACACTTCACCAAACAAATCGCTGCAGCTGTAATTCCCAGTGGACTGCACCAGCAAAACGTGGACGGACACACAGAGATCCCAGCACGTCAAACTTACTTGCAACGGCTGCACTTACTGTAAAACGCAGGTTATTGAATAAAAATTTTGAATAACTCCCATACTCTGTAAAGAAATATGTAAATAATTGTTTTAATTCAAAATAGTTCCATTATTTTTTTGATTTTTTTGGATGCTTACTTGAACTTGCGCAATAAGAAAATCAATTTCGATGAAACAATCGATGAAAATATCGGCAGTGTTGCCTGTTGAACTTTTTATACGAAGACAAGACTTCTCCTTGTATTTTAGTAGTAGTTTCCATAAATCAAAAAAGAGATCAACACAAGCTAAGGCAGAATGCGGGAGCGAGACAACTGCCTGGTTATCCAACCTTGTATTATTGAATCGTGATCAAAACTCCGATGTTTCTAGCTTGCTCGCTTTAACACATAGAATTCTTATTGTAGTACGCATTATTACCGGGTACGCAGCTCTAACAAAGGGATTTTTTTTTTACCGTTCGAACAAAAGATTTGGAAGTGTGTGGGTGAGATGACTAAAAAGTTGTGAATGTGTTTGTAAATCGTTCGAATTTCAAGGGAAAGTGTCTCTGTCTTTGATTTTCGAAGTAAATTGAACAATTCGGTCACGTCTTGGTTAATTTGAGTAAAAGACACAAGACAAAATTGAAAAGAATCACAGAATTATGAAAAAGTGGTTTGTGTTTGGATGTTTTCGGAAATAATATGAAATTCACGCCAAACGACACTAACCGCGGTTGCTGAAAAATGTGTTGTCTTTATAATTGTCTGGATGCCTACTTTACACAACAATTTGACAAGTAAGACATATTCTCAATCGTCTTGTCTCAAATTGTCTTATGTAAACGAGTCAGAATTTCTGAAACGGGCCACTTCGATTATGTGATATTATATTTCCAGTGGTATTTTTTCATAGCTATTGACAATGCAAACAAATGTCTAACTTTGATTTTACAAACAAAAATATTTTTTCTTATATAGGGCGATTCCGCCGTCACGGGTTGGACATTTGTACATAAACAATTTTTTATTTGTTTAAATTTAAGTATAAAGTACTCAACAATTCTACATTTTGATAAAGCTACACCTAATTGACTAAACTTTTACGCAAACGTCAAAGCTGTGCTGTTTTGTGCTCTGTTTAAATTTTGTGTTTTATAAAGCTGTTTACGCTTAATAAAGTAAAAAATTAAAAAAAGTGTGACTAAACGTCTGGTGCACAATTTAAAGATAAGCAAAATATCAAAATTTCCTGTAAATTTGATTAATTTAACTTGATATTCTTAATTGCATGTGTCGAGTGTTTTGTTTCATATAATATATTGTTATTGTACAATTGTTTTTGTTTGTGCACATTAATTTTGCTCTTTTTGTCATTTGTGCTGGTTCATCTTTGTCACAGCTGTTTGCGTTGTGTTTATTAGGTGGCAAATATACAGTGTATTTAAGACTGTTCGCTACATAGCTTTCAAACCGATATTTACCAGTTGATTGGTTCTCTGATTGATACATCGTTTTCAAAACTGTTTTGCTTTATTGCTTCTAAAACCTATAAATAAATATCATTTTAAACATGTCGTGTATTTACTCCAATTGCCACGTTAAAAGAGACTCCTATGTGTCATGCTCGCTCTGCGATGGGATTGCCCATATAAAATGTGCTGGTTTCAGCGGTAGGGTGTTAGACACTATTAATGAGGGAAAGGGTCTTGTCAAAAATGTAGATCAACCGATGTAGATTTATTTAAATTCTTTAGGCAGTTCAGAAATGGTTTTTCTGAGATCGTGAAAAATCTGTCGGTTCTTATTGAGAAATTTAAGCATTACGAAAAAATGTTTAAGTCTTTCACATGTCTCGACAACCCTCCACACTCTGAGGATAGCCGAGAAAATAAAGGTAGGTGTGTTATTAGTCCACTTAAAAAGATAGTCACTGAATCTAGTCAGCAAAATCCTCCATCCCAGTCCTTGGAACTTACTAATCTTTCTTCTCCATGCCCTCAGGCATTGGAAACTCCGCTATCTAAAGCCATATCACCTAGGTCTACATCTAAAAATAATAACGTCAATCAAACCGTTGATTTAACAGTGTTCCCATCAACAACTGAAGCTGCACTGTCTAACTTAGTTCCTCCAAATAATTCGGAGCCCCGCACATCAGATATCATTACCAAAAAGTTGGTTGTGATTCCTCCGAGAAGATCAAACTTTGTCTCTAGATTGGCTAAAGGTATTTCTTCGGATGATATAAAGTCATACATATCGACTTAAATTACGACTAAAGGTGTATTTATTCGTAAATTCAATTTTAAATACGATCGCGATATTTCGTCTTTTAAAATTGATGTAGCTGCCGAAGATTTTGATTCACTACTAAGTAGTTCATTTTGGTCGACCGGAGCGTTTGTTCGCGAGTTTGAGTATAAACCTAATAAAAGTAATAACAACGTAGCTAAAATTTCTAATCTTAATTCGGATTCAAAAAACTAACTCGCAAGTCTAATTTAAGTATTTACTATCAAACGTTAGAGGTTTGAATACCAAATTAACTGACTTATATTTAAAAGGTTTTGGCTGCAATTATAATGTTATTTCCTTGACCGAAACATGACTCAAACCTCATATTTTTAATTCCCAAATTCTTCCAAATGAATATCAAATATTCAGGAGTGCGTTCTTTTTGCGGTGCATTCATCGATACCATCCAACGAAGTTAGTGTTCCTGTCATTGACTATACCGAATTTAAATATATACGTGTAAAGGCTGGAAAGAGTTATATTTATTTAGCTCTTTGCTACATCCCTCCTAATTATGCCGTAGCAGTATATATGCAGCTAGTTTATTTACTTGAGACCGTAAATGCAATGCTTACGGCATCCGATTCTATGATTGTTTTGGGTGATTTAAATCTGCCACACATTTCATGGAACATCATTGACACCGATGTTGTACCAGTTTCATCTAGAGATAGTTACAATGTATTTCTGAAGGAAATGGCTGAACTTTGCCCCAAACAAATAAATATATGTCGTTTACGTTGATGATGTTCCGAAGGCCTCTATTAATCGGTGCGATCTCCTAGTTTTGCCAGAGGATGCATACCATCCCGCTCTTGAGTAATACATAATAATAAGTCGTATAGTTCAAGTATTAGATATGTTTTTGCGAAAGCAAATTTCAGGAAAATTAACAAAGAACTTTTAAAGTTATCTTGGCCAATATAAAGAGATGACGTGGAGCGTAGCGTTGAGCACTTTAATGATACTGTTTTCAATTTGTTTCGAAAGTATGTGCCAAAACTTATTATTGTTCATGAAGAACCAACACAATTATGGGTCACTAAAGAGCTTAAAAAATTGAAAAACAAAAAGTCACATTCTTTTAAACTGTATAGAAGAACGGGCTTACGTAAAGTACTCAGTTTTGCATCGTAGCTACTTTGCATTAAATAAGAAATGTTATAAGTCAGTATTTAAAAACCTTAAAAGTATAATTTAGGCGTGGACCTGATCATATTCCGACCTGTTTTCTTAAAAACTGCGCTGAGAACATCTGCGAGCCTTTAACAACTCTATTCAATTTGTCACTAAAACATGGCGTTTTTCTGTCAGCCTGGAAGGAGTCTTTCATAATACCACTTCACAAAAACGGCAGCAGGTCTGTAACGACAGCCGATTTAATATGAATATACATGCATATATATATATATA